CAAGTAAGGTCTGATGCTGAAAATTCAGCAGTTGGTTCTATGGCCAAGTGCTATCCCAGGAAAGCGGTACTAACATTCACGCATACCACGTAAAGACATGTGAAATTGTGGGTCGGAAAATTGCTAATTCGGGAGTCCGAAAAACTGGAAAACTGAAATATTAAGGGAATGTTGCCTGTCTACGTACAATCCAGTTGCTTAATGTGCCTGCTTCGTGAACCTCAGCACGTGAAACCTCTGGCGGAAAAATTGCTAATTCGAGAGACAGTAATTTAGGAAGCTGAGATTTCAAATAACGGCGCACACCAGAGCAGCCGGTGCGACCATACGTTTTGTGCAATTCGGTTCACCGAGCGATTGCCTGTTGCGGATTTTCACTGCTTTGTACTTTGTTCTATGCAAAAGTAGTTGAAATTTTGTCTGGTTCCTGTGTTCGAAATTTCTCAGGAAAATTTTTACATACCAATACATGAATTTGAAACTCTGGACGGTGAAGATCAACTCAAAATTTCAATTTCCTGATTTTATAACTTTCGAGTGATTTTCTCGCCGAAACTTTTAAATAGTCGTATGTGAAATCTAGACATACTTGGGAATCAAATTTTGAGTTTGTGAGGCTCTTGCATAAGCAGAAACCATCCTCCTGAAATTTTCAGCCTCCTAGCTTTCATGGCTCTCGAGACAATAATTTCCCATCGAAACTTTCACCGGACCGTAAGTGATACTCGAAGGTGAGGAAAAGCTGAATTTGAATTTGCGGGGTTGTATGTAGGCGAGGGACATTACCGTAAAACTTCAGCTTCCTGGCTTTTACGGTTCCCGAGACAATAATTTACTCGCCAAAATTTTCACGGGGCCGTAGGTGAAACCAGAGAACGCGAGAACGTTACATTTGAATTTTCAAAGTTGTGCGTAGGTAAAGTCATTACCCTAAAATTTCAGCTTCCTAGATTTCGTGATTCTCGAGATAATAATTTACCCGCCAAACTTTTACGAAGCTGAACATGTCCCCCGCAGGCAGGAGAACTCTGAATTTAAATTTTCTGTATAGCACGTTGTCAGGAGATATGCTCACAAAATTCCAGTCTTCTAGGTCCCGTGCTTCCCATGATAATTTAACCCGCCCCTGATGGGAGCGCATGTGTCACCCGCGGGTACGGGGAGATTGAATTTAAATTTGCCAGATCACATGTGGGTGGAGAACGTTCTCCTAAATTTTCAGCTTTTGTGGTTCCCGAATTGAAAGTTGTGGACAAGTTACTGCGGACAAACATACAGAGGGACAACCCTGTGACAATATGCGTTTTGTGCTGCAGTTACACAGCACAAAACGCATAAAACAGCAGACGGGTCAGGAAAGAAATTTTTTCCCAGTGGCACACTAATACGGAATTTCCATTTTTTATCCAGAGAGTCCTGGGTATGTGTGCTATGTTTTGTTTTTCCCCAATCAGCAAAACTATACTACTAAAATGTTTAGTATCAGTGCAGTTTGCAGCACTTTGCTCATCTTATTTCCTTACTTTTGCCTCATTTGTTAGTTCACGCAGGCCCATCCGCAATCTGCACAGGTTTTCTGATCTGTTCATGATATAAGTTGAGGTGTTCTTCAGATAAAAATACCTGAGTGAGGACGGAGGCATAAAGAAAATATTCCTGCAGGAAACGTAGCAAAGGACAAAGTTGCGCCGGTAGACGCCAGCCACGGTCGATCAGTGTCTGTGCAACATCAGGACAACAGGCAAGTAAATTACCCAGATCAGCGATGGCTAGACTGAGCAGGAATAAATTGATGGATGTGTTGTAGAGCTTCTGGTCCAGAATAATTGTCGCAACAAAAATATTACCCAAAATTCCAACCACAATAATCACAACGAATATTAGGCCAAAAGCACATTTTAGGGCCACCGACAAGACCATCATCCTGCACCTCTCTTCTGTGCAACAATATTCGAATGGCGTAAGTCCTCCGAGAACTGGATGAAAGTCCAGCCGTTTGCTTGTCTTTTCAGTTCTAGACCATGACGTAGGGATCGAAGGACGATGCTTTCGGTGTGAATTTCACTTCTTGACAGCGAACATCTTCATTTCCTTGCCCAGAGCAATTAGTAAGAACAGCTAACTCCGAGAATTCTCGGGAAAAGCACAGTTCTCGGCATGAAATAGCATAACGAGCATGACGTGTAATTATGATAAAACAATTGCAGAATAACACAAATTACAGAAGAATATTAAACAATGAAAATAACAACTCGTTCGAATTTAAAATAGCCGAGAAAAGTTTTACGATCCCTAAAATGACTAAGAAAATTTTCGCAGTAAAGCAAATGAGCTAGGCAAAATATTTAACAGCAAAAAATCACAGCGCAGATTAGCAAGAATATGACAGCTCTCTGCGGCTAATGTGGTAGTACTGGGAGCAACAACAAATTACAACAACTTTGACATGTATGGCCCATCCAGTTCGTAACCCAATTTCCTGAAAAAAAATGAGTTTATAATAAAGGATAAGATAAAGCCAGTAAAAGAAACACCGCTAAAACATTGATGAGAATATCTTCACCCCATCTGTTGAATTTTCTTATCGGGCTAGGTCACTACTGAGTCTATAGTTCACCAATAAAAAGCATCCGTTTATCCTAAAAATATGAGGCAGAGGGCTGAAAGGCATTATCCGATTATTTTTTGGAAAGTGGTATGCTACACAAAGTAAATTCCCGGTCCAGCATCCCCTGGATAATTGCATTTCCAGTAACTTCGACAAAAAGGTTAGCACACTCGCATTTGCGAGAGAATTTTCAGTGTTAATTTCACGCAGCTACACAAGCACCATGAGTTTTATCAGTTTTTTCGACAAAGCTTAAGAAAGAGGAAATCCCAACAGCTCATTTCCCTTTTTTTATAATCAAAATCTGTAGATGCCGGCTTCCTCCTAACTGTTTTAATTTGATACGCTGGTCAACCGCCCCTTCATTACGGCTGACCTTAACGCCAACGACAGGACGCAAACACTTCCGATACTACTGCGGCCAAAGCTGCCAAGTCTCGTCTGCTCTTGGCATTTATGTCCAACATTCATATCCTGTTAATTCGCGGGGAAATGTGAAATGTCATTCGCTCCATCATCTATCTAGTCGGTCCGATCATCTGGCACTAATTCCCCAGGTCTTTTCCAAAGCGGTAATCAACAGCAGAAAACATGGTAAGAACTGGTCTTATGAAAGTTTTACAAGATCGGGTTCCAGATATGCAAATTTGCAAAAAAAAAGACAAACAAGAAATCGACCACGTAAACACCCCTAACTTCTAACACTACTTATTTTTGGAAGAAAAGTTTCATACTAAGAGCTGTCGCAAAGCCTTCGAACGTTCCTAGAATCTATTCCTACGCAGTCATCTCACTTAGTGAGTCTCGAGCTGTACGTACGACACCAAACATCGAGAATACCAAGACCAACCGTGCTATTAGTGTAGATATTTTACATTAGTGGTATTACTAAGATGCTCTTTGCAATCTAGCCAGGCAACCAGTACTTTGCATCACGCTTGTTAAAGAAGAGTTGATTTTCAGGGTCACATCCTAACTTCGTGCAACCAGTTTTAGCAAAAAAATAATAATTCTTTCATCTCGCAAACGCTCTTTTCTACTTCCAAACGAGAACTATGTCGACTGGAATAGGCCGATAACACGAAGTACACACTGATGAAATTATAAATGTTTACAGTACCAGAGTAAAGCGAAAGCCCATCATCCATTACTGACCGCCATTCGAGTTAACTTAGATACTCGGTTTTCAGTTAAATACAGGAGAGATCCCTCAGTGCGTGCGCTTATCGCTTTCCATAGCATGAGCCACTATTCCCAGGAGCTTACCGTTATAAGAGCAAAACATTTATTATGAGCAATATTGCTACTGAAGAAAGAATCGCATGGCTGATTTTGAATAGTTGAGAACTAAAATGCCGAAGTACAGATTCTCAAAACAAGGACGTAGCATGAAAAAGGAGCAAAAAAGCTGCCTGCAGACATAAATAAAATCGGTGAAATACTTTTCAATGAACTGAATTCAGGTAACCTAGTCTGCAACACAAAATTATGCCGATGCGATCATGCGCTTTTGTGCTGAACTTACAGTGGTCAGGTCGTTGAAGGAATGGCTCTTGCGCTGTGGTTTAACATGTGGACTCATGCTGGCAGTGTTTTGGCTTTTCCTGCACATGGGGGAAAGGCTGTCAAATGGATGGTAGTGTTGTATCAAGTAGCCATGTGAACTTCCAGCGTGCAGGACTATCAATTTCTCGCATGAAGCCCGGTTGTTTTTCCAGTGAGCGGACGTTCATCAAATCATTGGGGACGCGCACCAGGCAGTCTCGTGCGATTATGTGTTTTTGCAGTGTTTCGTGCTGTAATGAGATCGCTCGAACCCAGTAGCTAGAACTGACTGACATACTGGTCCTCGAATTTCGGGAAGTTGATTTTCTATGCTGTACTTGGACAAGGAACATTCCCTAAAAATTTTAGCTCCCCAGCTTCCCTGAGTCCGGAGCTGGGCATTTTCCAGCTAAAAACTTTCACGGGGCCGTGCATGAGAATCAAGGATAACTGGGGGTGAATTTGGTAGATTTAAGTTGTACATGAGCTGGAAACATTCTCTGATAATTTCAGTCCCCCAGCTTTCCTGGGTCCAAAGTTAGCCATTTGCCTGCCAAAAATTTTCACGTGGCCGTGCGTGAGAACCACGCATAACTGGGGGCTGAATTTGATAGAATTAAGTTGCACATGGACTGGGAAGATCCCTTTAAAATTTCAGCCTCCCAACCATCCTGGATTCCAAGTTAGCGATTTTTTCCATCAGGAACCCTTACGGCGCCGTACGCGGGGGCCGCGCACAACTCGAGGCTGAATTTGAAATCTTTAAGTTCCGTGTGGACGACAGACATAACTTCAAAATTTTAACTTTTTAGCTTTTCTCGTTCCCGAGTTAGCGATTTTCCCACTAAAACCTTCACGTGCTCATATGCGGGGCCTAGACGTGCGTGACGGTTGGAACCGCGGTCCTGAGATGGCGCTTGGCCGGGGAGCCCACTCGCAAAATTTCGACGCCGGAATCTGCTTGGATGTCGAGTTGAAATATCCGGACACACACACACACACACACACACACACACACACATACACACACACCGGTGTCGTCGCAACATGCGTTTTCGTATTTGCATACATACAAAAATGTAAATTTAAATGCGCGTTGCGAACTTATACAAGATTTGAA